TCCATATAAATATTCAAAACTAAGCGGATTAAAATGTGCACAGTAAAGACATTAAATGATTAAATCTTTGCACTACCAACCAATGCACCACGAGTGCCCCTGTCGGTCATTTTGGCCAGCCAATCACCTACCACGGTGCCCTCCGGTGCCCTGCGGTGGCTTGTGGGTAGGTTACTGTACCGCAGGTTTTTACCGCGCATTTTGAATGGCTGCATCTGTACAAACTAGTTTGTTGTTAACATTAGCTCTCACACTGTTAAGCCTTGCGTGTTCTCATCCCCCTAGATACATCAGCACAACCAGGAGTTTATAAATCTGCCCCTCCATCCTTCCTTCATCAGGGCTGGAGGAGTCCAGATCAGTCTCCTGTTCTCCAGTCTCACATGTTCACACTCACAACACACATTAGCACAGCAGCTGCTGGCTGAGCCAGAAGCATGATAATTAGCCCTCCACCCAGCTTCCATCAAGGCTAGAGGAATCCAGCTGAATCTCCTGTTCTCTGGTCTCACAACTACACACAGAACACATATGTTAACACAGCATCTGAGGCAGGAGCATCATAATCAGCCCTCCTCATCAAAACCATTAATTCCCTGCAGTTATGCACTGGCCAATGGCCTGTCACAGATACATTGAACACAAAATAGCCGAATCCACAATCAGCCATCTGAAAAGCTCTGCTGATGGGTACGAGTGAGCTGGTGAATGTGGGAACTGTGGTACATCTTCCTCTTGAATTTTAGGAGCTCTAATTGCAATGCAATTCCAGTGATCCGGTGCTCGGGGGGGTGGGGTGGCGATGGCAAATGAGTTCAGGCAGTCCAAAAGGGGAAATCTGGGGTGCAGTCCAAAGTCCAAAACAGGGGGATCCAACCAAGACGAAACAAACACAGTTACAATCCGGAACGGGATCCGGAACAGGGACAGGGAACCAGAAAGATAAAAACAGGATAACACAGCCAGGCGCTCCGAGCTCCAGTCTCAGATGGTCAGGACGCCGTGATGAAGCATATGCTGTCAGGTCTCTCCTGGACCCACGGGTAGCTGGGCTTCTGGGCGTCCATCTCCCAATCCAGAGCCAGGAATAGCGAGAGCGCCAGGCTTAAATAATGGGACACAAAACAGGTGGCAGGTGCACATTATTAACTAAAATACGAAAGAGTCGGGGAGCCCTTAAGAGGAGGGATCCCGATCGTGACAATACCAAAGGCTTAATGAGATCAACTTAACAACCTCCCCGAGCTGTTAAAGTGCAGCTGCCTTGAAGAGACACTGCGCCACCAGGACCTACTGTAGATATCCCACTCCTGTTTTAGAGTCTTTGAGGCCAAACTAAAAAACTGAAACTGGAGTCATGGAGTTTTGGGCAATGGGAATTTTCTGTATTGCAACACTGGCAATTCCAACAGAACCTCAGGCCATGAGCACAGAAATGTCAGGTATGAACCAGTCAGGGAAGGGTAAGATTTCATCTCAGAACCCTAGAATATATACAAACAAGCACCTTTTCACACCTTAGCTTAAACTGATTAAAGAACACATTGCATGTGATGTTTTGATTTGTTTTTGTTTCCGTACAATGGAATTTTTTAAATAGCATAACTTCAACTACCTATAGGGTGTAAAGCAACTTTAAACTATGCAACTAAACCTGAAAAGTCTGAAAAGTTTCCTTGTGAACTATTCCAGATTCTACTTTTTTCACAACCTGTGTTGCAAAACACTTTTACTTTAGCTGAAGCAACATTAAAAACCTTTCTTTTATCCATTATTTTCTTGGCATATTTGAGCAGTTTAGAGTTGCATCTTGTATTTTTAAACAAAGTTTGAGGTGCTTGTAAAGGATCTTGGCTTGATAAGAAATGTACAAACAGCTGGTCCTTTAATAAAGCCATTAAGATTTCGAAAATATATAGAGTACAGACACTTCTAGATATGGGTTTGCCTCCTAGCTAAATCTCTGAGCACCACTTTTACAAATTACAACCACTACCATTTTTCTATTCTGTCACAATCCTGAGACTGTTCTTTAGTTCAAAGATTCTAATCATTAGTTACTCTTTTTCTGTTTTGCAGTCTCCTGTTCTTTAAATATATTAACACCTTGCTAAGTATTTTTTAGAATTTCATTTATTATTAAATTATAATCTAATTGTTACCTTCTGTTAGATTTTCACTGTATTAAACAATTATAATAGTGGTTAAAGCAGGTAGCTGCCTCAGCACACATAGGCTGCAAAGGAACAAGTAAAGGTTTATTCAATGCTGAAAAGAGAGGAAAAGAAACACAACGTTTCAGCTGTGTTTCAGCCGAAACGTTGTGTTTCTTTTCTTCTCTTTTTAATTACAATAGTGTTCTCACTAGATATAGAGCCACGATCATAAACAGACACTAAATTGGGAATGACGTTAATAAGAAGACGATAAAAAAGGGACAGCAATACCTTTAACTGCTGAACAAAATAATGCAGCAGATAGCATATCATGTACTAATAACTTTACCACACTTGAAACTTTTAAAAGATCTGTATGATCTGCAATCACACTCACCTATGCTCCTTGAAAATACATTCACTCCAAATTAGACAATTCCTGAAATGCTTTACATAAAATCTAAAACACAGAGAAAATTGATTAAAATAAGCTTATTTCACTCACATTGAAAATGAAAAGGGTTGGGGAGAATTAAACAGGCTAGAGTTTACCACGTTATCGTAGTAGTGTGGTTGAATCGCAGACTAAGTAAGGAGTGTCACAATGGCGGCCTCTGGTGGTCACCTTTTCTCAATACACCTGGTGTCCACCCTATCCCGGGCGCAAGATACAGCCTACTGGTCGAAATTGTTGTTAAATTTAAAATCATCTCACCAGTATCATGGAGTAATGTAAATTAAATTCAGGATCAAAGCATTTATCCTCAACATCTTGTGAGTGAACTAGATCCACTTTTCAATGTATAAATTAGTTTACAACAACCTCAACACACAGTTACATTCAATCCTCTCACAAGCCCTCTTTCTCCTGATTGAGCTAACATCAGCAATTGTGTGCAGCATAGCCCATTCTTGCTAAAATGAAATCTGTGAGACCAGCTGTAAGGGACTAAAGTCTACTGTTAAAATGCAGTGACTCTACATGAATCAACCTTCTTCTTAATCTTACTATTTCAATAAGTTTGAACTGTCCCCTGGAGAGATGGGTACTCATCACATGAACATCACATACAAAAGAAGAAGTTAACATTTCTAGACAAAAAGAACACAGAAAACAAAGTGAGTAAACCTCACTATGAGCACTCCACAGTATACAGCAATATACTGTTTTAGTGCTGAAGAGTTTTAAAGAATAAGTCTAAAAATCCTAATTCTTAAAGTGCTTGAACTGTTTTAAATGCCTGCAATGCATGCAGAAATGTGGGACTACAAGTACCTATCATTGCCCACCGCAACACTGCAGGAGAAAAAAGTTGACAAAACAGGCAGCTGGATTTTTCTTTAGTCAAGACAAACTTCTAATTTCCTCCCCTTATATTCCATTATTAAAACTTTGTCAGCAGGACAGAGCAAAGCACAGTGAGCTGTGTTTTGTTTCAGAAAGGTTTCTGTTACGTTCCACATTCCTGCTCCTACTCGTTTCTCTCATTGATTCAGTTTCATTATTTTCCGGTATCTTGTTAGTGTTTTGGCTTTATAAGCCTTCATAAGCCTAGGCTCAGCTTTGGAAGACGGACGTCCGAAGGCCCGCCTATCAGCAGGCCTGGAGTAGCCTGAGGCCATATGCCTTCACCCCGGAGTCCTGACCTACTGAGTCCGGGGCTCGGAGCGCCTGGTCCCGCTAAGGTTTTAGTTCTCTGTGTTCCTGGCCTTGGTCCCCCTTTCTAGGGATTTGAACTGTCTTCGTCCCGGATGGATCCCCCGGTTTATGGAATATGGACTGTGCCCTGACAACCCTTTTGGATCTCCCTGAACTTGGTTGCTTCTGTTTTTCCCCCGTGCACCGGGGGAAAAGCAGTCATTGTCACCGACAGTCACCGTCCCCTGTCTGCCAATTCGTCCCAACCCTGCTGTATCTTCCCCTGATGTCCTTCTCCAGACTCTTCCAGATTATACCGTCACGCATAGGGTCTTTAACAACGCATTTCACTCTGGAGTCTGACCCGGCTCCCATGAGCTTCTCTCAAACCTTTGGCTACACTACTGTCAAGGAACTTTCAAGAAATTAGTGGATGAGATCCTTGGACCAAAAGCCTACTAACACCCAGTGCAGCTAACACAAGGGATGACTGGTCTTTCTAATTTTCTTATGTGACCAATTGAGGAAAAGGCAAGCAACATGCAAGAACTGGATCTCCTCAAAAAGAATCTGCAGACTCTTGTTTTTGTGAACCTCATTTCCCCATTCTTTCTGTCTTGGTGAAGGAATCTTTTAGAGTTTGTAATGTTCTTGTGACAGCCACCTGACACACAAGAGCTCTTCATAAAACACACCGGTTTCATTTTCATTCAGATGCTCATCAAAGAACTCAAGTGAGGAACGGTGAAGACAGCGCAGTGTTCAGCACATTAAAGAGAGGGAGAAATAGCCACCTTCTTGTTTCTTACTTCGTCTTTTCAGGATGAAATTGATCATTCTGTCCGCTCTCTGCATTGGTGTGGTCCACTCAGCCAGCCTATTTCTTCAGGACTTTGAGTTCGAGAAGTGGAAACTTAAACATGGTAAGAAACTCATGGCAACCCGCACTCCTTGGTGATAAACCTCAGCAAGGAGACCATCTCACAGACTTCATGCCTAACACTCTTCTTTTCTCAGCCGAAGGGGACACAGTTCTGTCCATTGTAATGTCTCGTCTCAGGGCTACAGTATGTGTAAAAAAAAAGATTGGAATAATTTCTCTTAACAACATTGTGTCTTCTATCCTCTTCATTCAAATATTAGAGAGATTTTCCACTGTTGGTCGTGCGGTACTTTACTTTGTTCAACGTTTCCAAAAATCTTTGAAGTGAACACTCGAAACGTTTGCCTCCCAGAACAGTAAAAATAGATGCTTACAGACACCATGAGTAAATGTAGAATGCAGCTCCAATGATTCTTAGGTCAAAATGAGAAAGAAAGAATTGTAAATGAAAGAGCAAATCCAGTCTCTTGCACAGTAAGAGCATCAGGTTACCAAATGTGACGAATGTGGCCGAACAGAAGTTTGCTGCTCCTGTCACCTTTTATTTATGTGCCGTCAATTTGAAAAGCTTGATCCGTCTAATGGGGCCTTCAGCTTCTGCTCCTAAAATCCCACCCGGCTGTTTGCGAGTCACGTTTAACCTCATTGTCTCAACCGGGATCAGTTTCTGCGCTCTCCGTTTTTTAAAAGCTAAGGTCTTTATGTGAGCTGGTCGTTATTTCCCGAAGACGTTGCTTTTGTTACAAACCAGTTTTCCAGACACCCACCTTCTTCTATGCGTCATGTTCGGTAGAAGGTCGGGTTGTTGCTTTGCGTCATCCAAAAATTCAAACCTCAACATCCTGTCTTCCTTTCTCGGACTGACTGTATTGTTATGTTACGGGTTCCAGCGAACACAAACGTGGGATCGCCGTAACTGTAATAAAGAACATTAAAGAGGAGACGGCTAGTCTTAGTCCTTTCGTTATCTTCCTTTATTTAAACTCAGACTTTAGTATTGCGGACAAAATTAAATACCGTCTTCTAATACAACATCTTGTCTGTAACTAAAACAAAAGTTTACATATTTAACTGAGAATTAACAATAGTTGCGCCGCTACATAAAACGAAATTACACATATTTCTAGACAATATTAAGAAACTCGAACATCACACATAGTGAATACTATAGTGTAATAAACTCTGAGGATTTTACATGAATTAAATGTTATTTAGAGCGATAAACTGTAAGCAACCTGTAATAAGGAATATTTAGAGAGACGGTTGGTTTTAGTCCTTTCATTAATTTAAACTGAGCGCACGGCTACAGTACTCCCGGCTGAAAGCGTCCAATCCCACGGCGCGCCGCACCGAATGAAAGAACTGGATCTTCGGCATTATCGTACCCTGAATCAAACCTTCTCTACCACTTACATTAAAGAATGGGTAGTCGTGACGAAAGTTACTTATGTTGTTGCACTCCGTGATACTCCACCAGTCTATTTTCAAAAGGCTCTATATGACAAGGGTCTCTGTACACACGAGGCTGGAAGCTGGTGGTCCAGATATTATTTTGTCTTCACAGCAAGAACGCGCCTGCACCCAGATCCGAAAGAGCTTCGCCCGGCAGGGGCTGTGCCATTTGCCGTAACGTCATGCTAAGTCTTTGGTGTAAAAGGCTGTAACCCAGTCTTGGCTTCTTTCAGATTTTCATACACATTTCCAACGACGCTGTGATGGACTGCTGTCCCGTTCAAGGTGACCCTGTCTTGCGTCTGTTGTTTTCAGAAACAGGCTCCAGCTGTCCCGAACTGGAAGAACATGTTATAAACCGGACGGATATTTCCAGGGGGCAAAATACTGTCTCTTCTGGTTTCAGTTTTTTCACCAGGCTTCTAGTTTCCAGACTTTTTTGGTTTTATTTTCAGATAAACACCTGGAACTTGCACACAGTATGTTTTGATTTCCAGGGAAGGTCCTACAGAACCTTATTTACACACAAACAATCGATCTTACTGCAGGTGTAAAGGGGAATAATACGGTTGGTGAAAATAAAGCAGGTAAAGGAAAGCATGCAGATGTGAAATATAAACTGAATGAGACCGAAGTTAGATTGTACACACGTATCGCAGCAAACGAACACACACGATCCTCCTTTATTAAAGTGCAAAAAGAGAATGGCTTAAGCTCTTCTTTATTATTAACAATCTCTTTAGTGTCGCCTACCTCTCCGTTTTACCGTTTTGTCGTTACACGTTCACAAACAGAAAAAAAGACGTACTGCAACGTGGGCATTTTTTCAATTAAAAAAAATACAGTAAATGCTTTCATTTTTAAATGAAGCAACAGAACATCTAAACTTACGAATACACAGATTAATTTATAACTGAACTGAAAAACGAATTTACCAATCAAAGAACTGTAACGCATACGGCCGACATTGCAGGTTGTGGGAGCCGGCTTACCAGCGCGGTGACGTCACCGCCCTTCTCTGTGAATAGCAGGGACCGCAGCTGCCAGGCTGACGGGAGACTTCCCTTTAGCTCAGCCGGCTGGGTCCTTGATGAGTGACGCCGGAGTCCAAGGTTCGAGTTCCCAGCGGTGGGGGCCGACTTAAAGCAGCAGCGGCAGGGGCGCATGCCCACGTGAACCTAAGAGTGCTACAGTCCTATTATACTGGTGATGGTGACTTTCAGGTTTTTTTAACCATTCATAATACATCCGCTGAATATGAATCCTATTTTTCAGGCGGAAACACGGAATTTATGGACTTTCAGGAAACTTCAGTGAGAAAGACTAGATTGTGTGCATTTCTGTTTGCAGGCAGGAACTACAGCTCCCCTGTTGAGGAGTCCCGGCGTAAAGAGACCTGGCTGTCCAACCTCAAGCTAGTGATCGAACACAACACGCTGGCCGACCTGGGCCTCAAGTCCTACAGGCTGGGGATGACTGCATTCGCAGACATGGTGATTCTCCCTGCGGTCTGAAAGTCATAGACTGATTCAGCTTTAGAAATCATCAACTCTCTAAGAAGATTCCTTTGCTTATGCACTTTGTCATATTCTGAACCTCATTTTCAAGCGAGGTTACCGATTTCAAGACAGTCCTGTCTTTCTGCAGTATGGTGTAAAAGAGCTGGTGGCAAGACCCAGATTATCACCCTGCAGCTCACAACTGGCAGCCCTCTGAAGCTCAGCAGGCTTGCTCAGTACCTGGATGAGAGATCTCCTGGGAAAAATTAAGGTTGCTGCTGGAAGTGGTGATAGTGGGGCCATTAGGGGGCGCTCACCCTGCAGTCTGTGTGGTCCTAATGCCCCAGTATAGTGATGGGGACACTATACTCTAAAAAGGCAATGTCCTTTGGATGTAAAACTTAGGTCCTGCCTTTCTGTGGTCATTAAAAATCCTAGGGGGGAGTTGCCTGTGATTCATTTTTCTGCCCTTTCTTGTAACTCACATAGTTCAAGTAAAACTTTTAAAGACTGCAATAGGATGGTGTCTCAAATAATTAAAAAAAACAATAACCTGGTGAAACAATAACCTGGTGTATTTCTTCTCACTCTGGTGTAAATGAAAGCTTTATATCATAACAATTTGCTTTGCAACACATTATACATAGTAGAAAGCCTTGTTCGGAGAGGTTATGTGTTAACATGCAGTCGACTGGGCTGACAAGTCTCTCTATCGCCCCCCTCAGGAGAATGAGGAGTACAAGCACATGATGTTCCAGGGCTGTCTGGGCCACTTCAACACCACCAAAGCCAAGAGTGGCTTCACCTTCCAGGCAAAGGACTCTAATGTGCTTGACAGTGTTGACTGGAGGACCATGGGATATGTCACTGGAGTCAAGAACCAGTTGAGCTGTGGTTCATGTTGGGCCTTCAGTGCGGTAAGACGTTCTAAAAACATGGAATTAACACTTAGCCTTTTCAGACAGACAGGTCTGATTGTAGTTGGTTATCACTACTGAGATTACTTGCAGTCAATTTTCTTCTTTCTCCTGACCAGCACCAATGGAAATTAAAGACCGGGTTTTACTTGTTTTCGTAAAATTAGAATTAATATTTATTTTTGTTATCACACAAGGTTTGGAATACTTAGGGGTTTATCTCAGCTTTCCACCCACACTGGCGTGAGGATTAAATTGCCTCTTCTCCTTTGTTACAGTAACTTTAATGTGCTTATGGACAATTCTTCATGGAAACTGTAGCAGAGATCTGAAAAAAAAACCTCTTCATATTGTCAAAAAATTTGTCTCCCGGGATGAGATTTTAGCAGCCCAAAGGAAACATGGACATATTCAGGAGCAATGGTTAAAAAAAACACCAGGCATTTCAGATTTTGCTAAATGGGTTCTGTACAATTACACTGAATGTTTTGCGAGGAAGAAACTGCTGACAGCCCACAAGAGCAGTGCATGATCAATAGCACAGCGATCAAGTACAATGGGAGCTGAGGTGGGTGTCACTGAAGAGCCATTAGGTCTCCGAATTCAGCATGTATTTCAGAAACAAGGCACCAGTGTACACAGCACATGGGTGTGTGACACCTGCTGTAGCTGAATCCTTGCCTCTCTTCATTCAAGAATCAGCTATGCGAGAATTTCTGATCAAACAGCTCCTGTTATTAACATTTAACTGGATGTCATGCACGCTGTGCTGTTATTTGGTGTTGAAAGATGACTTGTTTATTAATATAAACTGTCTGTTATTATAAACTGACCCAACTGATATGTTGCATGATGCTGATCTTTGTCTTAATATCACATGCTGGCTGAGAGGATGTCATCTGATCAAGTGTGTGTGTGTGTGTGTGTTGTCCACAGACAGGCTCTCTGGAAGGGCAGCACTTCCGGGCAACTGGGAAGCTGGTGTCTCTGAGCGAGCAACAGCTGGTCGACTGCTCTAGAGCCTTTGGGAACTACGGCTGTGGAGGAGGCCTGATGGACCAGGCCTTTCTTTACATTAAGGCAGCGGGAGGAATTGACACTGAAGACTTCTATCCTTACGAGGCCAGGGTGAGATCTCCTCATGATCAATCAATGAGCTTTATTCGGGATCAGGAGAGTGCTGTAATTTGTGGTTTGGATGGGGCACATTTCTGATAAGTTTGTCACAACAGGTTCACTTATC